AGCGATTAGGTCGGGTTTGATGAACGACGTAGAAGTAGGGGCTCTCAACTCCTCGAAGACGGTGTACCCCAGTCGACGGAGACGTTTTGCAAGTTCCCTTGCAACCCGATTATGACGAGCACATCTGGCATCATGCGTAATCCAGGGTACTATCCGCCACCTCTCCAAATGCGCTTTACAATACAAGTCATATTGTTGCCCGGTAACACAGTGTGGAAGTTCAAAAATGACAAATTATGGCGCTGTCTTCGTATGTTTTAAGGATCACTGCTTATAGCACACACTAGTTAGCGTTACAAGATTAAACAAAACTTCCTGAAATTAGGAAAGCAAGATACATGGTTCTAAATTTGTATAAATCTTGTTTCAAAAGTGAACAACACATCACCGTAGGCCCCAAAGGTTGAGCGACGTTTTCCGGTAGGTGGTGATCGTAATGAAACTGAGGGTGATGTCAACAAATATATAGTCTCGCTAAGGATTTTTGAGCCGAAATCACTATCTCAAATACAACCTTAGAAGACAGAGTGGAGAGTTGCACGAAAATTCCTCGGAGATGTAAAACATTCTCAGAAATATCAGAAGAACTTTTATTGTGGTCATTTAAGCCGCTAAAATCTACTGCTTACAAGAGAGATCACAATTAAATCCACTTCATCCCAGTTCCTTGATATTTCGAACAAAGTTGACAAGTTTTGAGAAACCATCAAATTCCATACAAAAGTAACCATAGATGTCACGGATAACAGCTTTAGTTTCAACAAAAACCAGAATACCTAATTCGGGTTTGCACTTTACTTATTCTAAGACATTATGCCTTCTGTAAATATTTCCACGTTGTCTTTCGCGAGCAGTTTTCCACTGAAAGATGTTCAGACACTCTGTTTGACTGATATAAGCCTAGTATCTCTGCTAGTCATCACTCGGTTACATTGGCTTCTATGGAATCGCTCAAACGACTATATGCTATGATTCTTCAGATCAATGATGCTGTTGGCTGGGCTTTGACTTGCACCGCATGCAGCAGTTATCTAGGTGCAATATGGCCTTATTCTACAACCTACAGGTAGGGAGCGTAAAGAGGAAGCACGCAGTAACCTCGACTAAAACAATAGGCTGAAGCATGTGGTAAAAACGCTTTGGTGCATTGCCGCAGGAGGCTCCCAACTTTGGAATTACTATAAAAAAGCAACTCATATCCGTCTAGATACCGATGGATGTTTGTGATTTTTGTCAAAAAATACACTTATTTGTATTTACTTGTCTTCTCTCGATTTCTGTGATCATACTGGAAAATCCCAATATTATCAGGCAGACAATATGTTTGCATGGATAAGTGTACTATAATGGCAGGTTGACATTGTTCCCACCAAGTAGAAGTCGGGCAAAAAATATGATCAGTTTTCAGTAGCGTCTTGCGACAATTTGCCATTACGAAACACGCATTAGTATTAGGAAGTTGTACAAATTCCTCCGCAAGGACCAAAATTATCACTTGATGGACTTCCGGGAATTTGGGTTCTCTAATTAGTTCAACTTATGGGAAAAACCAGTGGTTTCATACCATACAAAAAAAAGTTTAGTGGAAATTAGGCAAATCTCACAGAAATGTGTCGAGGGAGTCGGCTGCAAGTAGCCAGTTTGAAAAAGAGCGCAACCTATTTGTAATGTTCCAGCTGAATGACTTTCCGTATGTACGTATACATGTATTATGTAAAAGTATACAACACAAAAATCCGCGCGAGTGCAAGTCATTAAGAATGTTTTGCATCTCTTGTTTCAGGTAGTGTCTAACGGCGTATTTGTCCAGACTTGGAATGATCACTTAGCTCCAAGTGCCACAACTCACTTGGAAGGGTCAAGGCTACGGGTTTAAATCAACCAATTTTGCCGAAATCTGAGTTTGCTGCCTAGGAAATCCCCTTTACCACGCACTCAAACAGTCAGATTTAGACAGGATTCATCCTTATAGACATAAGCTGAAGCAGAAAAATTTGATCACTTTCAGTGAACATTTGAACCAAACATGGTTGACCGGTCATGCTGGAAGCGTGCGAACTCTCTGGTTAGACAGTCTGCGAGGTTTCCTCATCTCCGGCAGTTACGACACGACGATCCGTTTGTGGGATCTCTCTGAAAATATTGTGCACCTGCAACGGCCTAAGACAAACAAGCAGGAAGCAGACTCAAGTGCACAAAAGGCTGAGGACCCTATGAGTTTTCACACTGGACAATCAAGGTGTGTTTGCAAATATCGTGGACATTCGGCTAATGTTCTCTGCTTGTGGGTTGATCAAAGTAGGGTTTGGCCAAGAGTGCAGCCACCCAAAAAACGCCAACATCAACGAGCTGGTGAGACGGATGCAGTTCTTGCGTTTTTTGACAATTTGACCTTTCGATTTGCGAGTGGTGGGGCAGATAACACCTGCTATGGTAAGCAAATTTTCTGTGACATTTTAGAGATAAAAATGTAATTCTAAGGACGCCTTATATCTGTGGAGCCCTCCATGTTTGCAATTCCATTTACACAGTAAATCATATTCAACTGGAAACGTTTTTGGAATCGTTTTGAAATATTTCCATCCTAATTTTATTATCTTTTTGATTGCTGTTGTAACATGTTTATATCCATACCGATGCAGATATTCAGATAACATCTTTGTTGCCCTACATGCTTTGTCACAGGGTTCCAGTTAATCTTCCTCATTGGTTTATCAAATTAGTTTTACAGCGCCTGAAGTCTGCTGTTAATTTGGGGTTATGAATTTAGATTTCTTGTCCATATCTAACGATGAGGCAATTGGCAAGTTCTCCGGTGGTACACTCATTTGTTCCTACAGTTTTCGTTCGCTGCACGTTAGTTTACTGACTAGGACCACTGTAAGGAGAAACCCCTCCACAAAACATACGCGATGTCATTTTGCGGTAGCCTTAAACAGATGTGGGCAAAATTCAACCCAAATAATGGTTTGTCTTCTGAAGCGATCTTACCCAATACCATTTAGTGTGGAACAAACTTTTTCGTTTTTTCAAGCAGTGCGTATGTCAAAACTTTGTATAAAAGCATCCAAGATGAAGGGTGGCAGAATGCAAACCATCAGAACGAAAAGTAAATCCCGCTGTAATGCTGCAAAATAAATGAAAAACAAACTGTTGCTTGAGGCTTGTTTGCGAACTCTACTGTCTGATGAACCCTCAGTTAGCAGAACTTGGTGACTACGCTGGTGTAGAGAGGAACATTGGAAGCACAGGTTTTTTAGCAGTAGGAATTGTCCGCTCAGTTTTTTAGCTTTGTCGTAAATTATTCACAACCAACTGAGGTGATACCATCAGGGCATTGGTGAGTAGCGTCGTAATGCAGTTTGTTAGCGGATACGTCTGCACAATATTCTTAGGCCTGGCAAATAACTTTGCCTAAACGGAGAGAACATACATACCATGTAGGGAATGCTACTGACAAGAAATATGGTAACGATATCAAGGCAGTGGACAGAAATATCACAAAAGAGACTTCTTCAAAGAGAGAACCTGCTCCTGGACGTTGCTCTCAGTATTAAGCCAACAATAAGGCAATCAAAACATCCATTAACATCCTGGAAGTATCAGTGGACATCAAAGTTAAAACAGTTAATTTAACCATGACTTGCTTTCTGTAGCATTTCTGTGCCAGCGTAGTAGTTCCTAAGTACATAGCTCAATTACTTCGTTATCAACTAATTAGCTCTAATCCCAGGAATGTATGTAAACAGCATTTTATAACTAGGAATGGTGCATTTCAGTCAAAGGGTTTCTGAATCTATTGAAATGCAGAAATACACATTCTGTTTAAATAGATTCATCCATGGAGGGGTCAAAATGGCGTCTCCTACGAGTCAAATACTTGACTGGATTCTCTTAAAGGAGTGACTGAGGATAGACCAGCTGACATTTTTACTAAATGGACTCCATTGGAGGTAGTATAATTAGGTAGTCCACGTTCCCTATCGGTATACCATACGTGATCAATTTTTGTTTGGAGCGTCACTGTGAATTACCACTGTAAAAGAAATGTACCTTGCAAAATCAAAGATTTTGTAAGGTGGTGGTGTGGTTTACCAGCATAGATATTTTGAGTATTCTGCGGTTGGGACTAAACATTCATACTGATCTTTTTGTGTTCCACTTATTAGTTTGGCAAATGGATTCTCGGGTACCACTGTGGATGATGAAGCACTCGACGAGTGTCACTGCTGTTGTACTGTGTGGTTACTGGTGTGCATCGGGCGATCAATCGGGAGAAATTAAATTATGGGACCTGAGAGATGAAAGCCCACTGCTTCACAAAGTACGCGTGTGTCCATAATTTTATCAACTTTTCAGTAACCTTTTGATAAAAGGTGACTTACGTATGTACTAAACGAAGCTGTCCGCCTTTATAGTCAAGCAAAATTGTTCCTCAATATACTGCAGCTGGGCTGGGGCAATCACAAGTTCCATCTCGGAAACTGGTAACCATGCTAACCACTCTTCCTCGTTTAGTTCTTTGGGTCGATTCTCAGATTCGGATAAATTCTTTAAAACACCAGTTATATCATTTCAAGCGTAGTATTTTTGCTCAGCGTTCACACAAAACGTAAGCCAAGTGCAGTAGTCTCAGGTAATTTCATAACACGCGAAGAAAACCCGGAGGTCTTGTAGCACTTCATTTTGACTGCGCAAGCTGTGGGTATTTTTACAAACGCTAAATTTTGAATTGTTTTCCATACAACCGGCTGTGTAAGTCTTCAGCAGATAGCAGTGTGTGGTATATACATCAATTCCGTATGAACGGACAGTGGTGGGTCCCAAAGTTATTACTTCACATCAATCATATAGATGTACGAAGGGAATGTGTGCAGACTGTCAAAAATGAGAGATAAGAAATCTAAAGTAGTGGTTTGTATTTCGAGTAACGTCAGAAAGCACAACGGATAGGCTGTTTTTAAATTACTGGTATAATTGGATCAACTCACTTCATTTGGACTTCAGGCTTATCAGAATCTCACCATTAGTAGAGTTTAGGTGGCATCCAGAACAAACAATGCCAGGGAAGAATTATGTTTACTACCTACATCAGGCATGCTTCAAAATAGGTGTGCCCGGAAGAGACGAAAGAATTTATAGTGTACTGGGGTGCAGTTGAGCTGTGGGTGGTTTACTATGAGGAATAGTTGAATGGCCACACAATTTGTCGTACCGATTCTCTGTTATTGTCGGTAATGAAAGGTAGGAGAAGCGTATCAGGAAGCACTGAAACCACCAAGGATCCGCATCCTAAACCTAGCTGTAATGGGGAACAATTATGATAATTCTTCAGTTATTTGGCAATAAAATGCACGTTTTAGTCCAATCTTAAAAACTAAAGTGACTGGTTGTCTCTGTCGAGAGGTTTATGGTGGCGCACCGTTTATGTGTGTTTACAAAATGGTGCACTGACCGAAACAGTGAATCCAAAATAGGGTAAATGTTCAGCAGCAAACTGAAAAAATGCAAGTATTTACTCGGTTTTATCCGAATGTATCTCACCGAATTTAAAAGACGTATCGATTCGATCACTCACAGAACAACAAACACAACAAAAAGCTAGTCTATTGTTTTTCTCTGGGATTAATTTATGCAATCAGTACAGTCTGTGACTGGAGCAAGATTAATTTTTTTTAGGTGCTGCAGGGGCATACGGATGAAATAACCGCCTTGCGGATGAACGAAGCCTATTTAGTTTCATCATCGAAGGACGGATTTGTTCGTGTGTGGGATCTGGTATCAAAACTAACAACGTGTCTTGGACAATTAGCTCACTTGAGGTGAGATACTGATACGATTTTGGTTGACTGATTAAAATGATAATTTAGGCAGTCAGAAGATTCGATGCCTCACTATTGTGTGGAATTCCGTTATCTAGGTTGTTGACAAAAGCTGGATACTACCTAGCTGAATTGATACTAAATGTTATTTCATAAAGGAAAATACTCACAAGGTTGCTGAAAACTGTTCGATCATAAATGTTTTGGTTTTTACGCTGAAAGGTACAACACGCAAAGAGATTGAGACAGGCAAATATCAACCGAATCTGCAGCATTGTGCTTCTAGTAGTAAAGCGTTAGTCTAGTTACCGTCTGAAGCAACTCTCTGTTTGTAACAGAGATGTCTGACCGAATGTGTTGTTGATGGCCATTAGCTTTTACCCCTGTTTGGTTCATATTTACAAGAATATTCCTTGCGATGGCTGCGAAAGTGTTTGGAAGAATTTCTCATCCCTAATCAGTGAAGCTCCTCTGTCCTTGTTCTAGGTCATAGATTAGGATACATAAAACCGGTTGCTTCTAGGGTCAAACGCCTCCAATACATTATTGTCACCAGTAAAGACAAAGCAGTTGGTCATGGTTGGACCGAAGGAACGGGTAAAATGGAACAATTATCTGTCTTCTCCTCAGTGTGCGGTTGATTGATACTAGCATATATGCTTACCATGAATGCTTCCTGTCCAATGAAAGCAGAGATTGTCTTTGTGCTGCACAATTAATTAAAGCATATCAGGAATAAGAAATTCAACTTGAATCCAGTCCAGCAGACCTTTGAGAATAAAGCAATCCGTAAATGAGTCTATTTGCCATTTGCATACAATTTGGTATTCAAGTGGAAATTAAGTTTAAGGGACGCCATATTGATGGTTCCCAAGAGGAACAAAGCCAGCCGTGGAGTGTCAAAGAGTTTTGAGCAAATTAATGAGTAAAGTGTGTCGTCAAGTATTGAAATTAGTCTTATCTATTGTTAGTCAAGCTTGCTCACTGAATGGCCGTCATCCACGTGACGAAATGCTACTTTCGTCTGGAGACATTGTCTCAGATAAATGTGCTTGGTGGTTGGTCTGATGCAGTCTTCCATTTCACAATAGGCGGTTGCAAAATTCGGTATCTGACACGAACTTAATCACCATAACTGATTTTCCGAGCTTGCCTAAAGGCCTCTGCTAAGATACGGATGCCAATTAACTGCGTCCGAGCGGAAATAAAACAGAATTGTTTAGAGATTAAAAACTTTATTACCAGTGAACGCCGCCTTAACAGACAAGCCAATTTATCGAGGTATTCTCAAACTGTTGGAAGAACGTAGATCAGTGTGTGCTTGTTTACTGCAACGCACACCGGAAGTCAGCTGTGATATCTAGAGTGATAGCGTCTGAAGAGTTGGTGATATCTGGCAAGTTTTTAAAGTACTGGAGTAATTGACAGGAACACACATGTTGTTCTTCCTTTAACGAGTTTGTAAGGATTTGTTTACAACCAGAGATGCACATCATTTATTGTGCCTGTGTCCCGTGGTCATTGTTCACCGTGACCAGGCAATTTGCTTCGAGTGTACAGGTTGGTAACATGCGTATTTTGTAGGTCCCTGTTGTAAATATTTAGTTTGGGTCTAGAAAAGACTGTGTAATTGGTTAGTAATCTTAACACAAAAAATTCGCGGGAAGCCGCGTAATCATATAACTTGATTCCAAAACCATCAGCATTCTTACACTTCCCAATAACTGTGTTTCGGGAGAAAAATCATCGAGTTAGCCTATCTTTTTTTAAATTTACTTGTCCAAGATGTGGTAAAGTCTGCTTGGTAGGGATGATCATGCCACAGAATGTAACCCCTATATACATCCATTGTACAACGTTTTGATCGAAATAGCTTTTCTGTCTGTCCCTAATAACATAGGCATCCACATTACCGTTGAAACTCACGCTCCATTTCCACACAAATAGAGACTGTTTTTAAATAGAATCTTCTTAAACTGGAACAAAGGAACCTTTGTGCAGAAAAAAAGCCTAGCGCCAGTTTACCGGAATACATTTGAATTGTCTGCACCTCCAAACGATCACTCAGTCAGTTTGCACGGAATGTGGGAGCATCGCCGTCACTGACTTCAATTAGACAAAGATAGAAAGGATCACGAGACCTCCCTTATCCCGGGCGACAAGTAGCGCAACCTTATCCTTCTTCATACCACAGTGCTACCTTACAGTTTAGCCATTTCACGGGTTAGGCTTCTCTGAAGGAGACATGAGAAAACCCGCCTGCTCGCATCTGTGCCATCAAAGTTCCTGGCATTTGACACCTCACATTACGGAAGCACCAGCTGCCCATCCATGCGTCTTTCAATTTTCTTTGGTGCAAGTATTTTGGCAACATCCAACTACTTAATGGATTCTATGATACTTGGACATTTTCAAAGACAATTCTTCTCAAAGTTTACAACGTGCAATCAGGAACAAGCGATCCTCCGGGAATGGACGTGGGCCTTTCTGGCGTCACAAGTGATACTCGCAGACAAGCGTAACTTGAGACTCGGATTTATTTGCTAATTTTAACAAACAGATTTTGGCAGAGCTGATACACCGGTCGACATAAAACTTGAGGAATTCCCAGTGTAGTAATGAGGAGGCCTCTCGGAGACTAAGCACCATGAATCATGTTAACAAATATAGTATATGCGAAGCGTTTGTTAGAGATTGATGTAATGCTATTCCTTTTGTCGAAAGCAGTTAAGCTTTTTGTTCACCTTCAAGTACAAAACACTAAACAACCGCCTAATCTGGATTGACGCGGTAGCAAAAAGACCAACAGCAGGGCTTTAAATAACTTCAGTCTTCGCCTGACCATTCCATTAGTGACGCACAGGGCTACAGATGTTGCGTATATCACCTGGACTTTATTTTGTAGAACAGCTTCCTAGGAGCTCCACCAGGCACTTACACACCCAGAGATATGTGAGTATGTCCGCCTGGTGGTCGTCTAAGGTTTTTAGCGAAGCTGTAGTGACGGCTGCGGTTTAAGTGCCGGCAACTTAGAATGTTTGAAGGTGGTTTTCGTGGGGCCAGGCATCAGAACTGTTTGGAAATCTCGTCGTGGGCAGGCAATTCACATGAATTTCTATACAATTCTGTAGCAGAGACGTATATTTTTTCGGGAATTAATCGAGTAAGCTGTGTTTTCAATGCATCGCGATATTTGACCTGACAGGCTGAGGTGCTGCAAACGTTTGTAGGATAACAGTATACCCTTTTGTGATAGCTAATTGTTAAACTATGTAGGGTATGTCATAACGCTTCAACTGGTACGCAGCCGCTAGATTTTTGTTTATTCTGTGACTGATTATTTGGTCCCCACATCTATGTCCCACTTCAGGTACCCCGATCTCTCTGTGATTAGGGCCTAGACGTCATTGGACGTCTACCGTTCATTGTAACCCATTGAGATCCATAGGAATTACTTATTGCATCTGTAGCTTGTAAGCACGACTGCACTATTTTTTCGCACGTTACTTGAAAATGAGATAGTCCATTGAGAATTTGATCGCTCAAATGTGTACGATAAACTGCGATTTCCTAATTTATGGATGTTGTCACCCTGAGAAAGTGCACTTGGATAAAAAAAACCCCAAAAAAGCAGCAGGTAGGCACCAAACATTATTGAAAGTGTTTACATTAAATCTCCCTCGTCATGTATTAACAGTGCCTGTGATAGTGAACTCCACTTTCTACCGCCCAACATCAAAAGCTATTACTGTGGTTTTTGACGCGTGAGTCTGTGGTACAGTGTTTCTGTAAACTATATGTCTAGTTGAAGTACAGTGGTACGACTGCGTGGTAACAAAGGCAGATAACATGTTCTTAAACTCAAACCTGTAAGATATTACAGTTTGCATATACAAGCGACAACTGCTTCGTTTAAAGATGTTCACCATCTGAGAGCTGATATTTTCATTTCCTTCGTGGTTTTTCCTCACCTCACTAGGGCCGGCTGAGCGATCACATGTGGATTCTGCTTGATAAGGTAAAATATAATTCTAATGATGACCGGGAAGTTTTGGGCAGTTAATGAGAAATTATCGATGGAAAAACTTTGAACTAATAAGAATCATGAAGGTTGTTAAAAAACGACAGTTAACAAACAAGTAACGAGTCAACTGTATAGATGACTTGTGCACAGACGCGGTATGTACCTAGTACTTCTGTAACCCCTCAAATTAATTTTAACTTACTGCCCAAAAGACAACTTGAAGGAAGGAAGACGTGACTTGTAGGAGGTTCCAGTGTTTTTGCCCTAACAGGTTGACCCCCAAGTCTAATTTACTATATTATTCTGTGGATCCACATATACCTGTGTTGGTTCTTTAGGTGGCCGTTGATCCGTTCCGCCGAGCTTAGCAACTAGATTGTAAACTTTTCGCTATCAAAAGCGATACCTGACGGTTTGCAAGCCAACTGCTAAGCTCGGTGTACAGGTCAAAGCCACTGAATTAAGTAATACTCCCCTCCTACCCTAAACTGTTTTTCTGTTGACGTTGGCAAGGTTCTCGCCAAAGTCTCAATGAACCTCATCCCAAAGGCGTTTGTGCATAAATACCAGCGCAGGAAAGACGGTGTGTTAGAGTTATGAGCACTAATTTAGGCGTTTATGTGATAATACAGGGTCAGGTATAGCTTATTACGTGTGACGCAAATAGAACTTATGTGCCGGTGGACCTTACAATGTGTTTGTTACCACTTCCCGCTTGCCACGAAGCAGCGATTTCCAAATACTAAGATGTGGATGACCAGAGGCTATGTCGAAGACCGACCACGACACTGTAGGCCGTGAAGTTTGGTTATCCCTTTCCGAAATCTTCAGATGGATTAAGCAACTGATCATACGTGCCTTCATAGATACTGTGTGTCTGAAATGAAGTCTCAGAGGGCACCTGGAGGTGAATCAGAATCGCTAGAGAAGCACGTATAATTAAAAAGTTGAAGTATTTGGCACATTTAATTTACTGGCTCAGTTGTTCTGCATCAAAGAAAGGATGGTTTTCTATCCGGAACACTCGTTGTTGGACACACCATGATCTAGCAACACCAAACGAAGTCATTCGTCAAGGTAAGTGCTGAAAGATTATCGTTCTTTTCTTATTTCGGGCCACGTGATAGATGCCCTACAGAATATGACGTGTATCTCCTCTCAGTGGAGAGCATACTGTCACTTCCAATTAGGACTGCCTAGTTAAAACTGTGATCACTCTCGGTTGCAGAGAATTAAAAAGATGAATGTCGTTCTTGTCACAGCGCCGAAATATGCTGTTTTTTAAATGTGACAAAAATATCTCATAAGGTTACCCACAGTTGGTTTGCGTGTCAGAGACCACAACTGTGTAAGCATCATATTTTCTGTTTGCAATCCAGATAGCTTTTCCTGGCAAAACAGACCACGTACGGGTTGGTAACTTCTCAGGATACTTAGACTGCTCGTAAATGATCACTCACACCTTGATGAATGGATTGAGAATCTAACCGGATGTTCCGCTTTCCTGGTATAGGGAGAAACATTACTGGTCGAATTATGTTTAGATGTTACATAATGTTCTCATAACGGTTAACATGATTTTCCAGCCAGTTTAGCAAAGTAGCTGACGGAACAAATGCTGATAGCCACATTAGCTGGTGTGTGACATAATCCGTTTTACTGAGCACCGCCCTTCGATCTCACCCTGTGTGGGACTAAGTAGGATGACAACGGTGGTAAATAAGCGGAAACTACATGCTTGCTGTCCGGTTGTGAAGTAGCTAGAAAACAAGTGTAATCTGTGTAATGATCCTGAACTAAAAACCATTTCCACAAACAAAAATTTTGAGGCATCAGGATGCTCCTGCTATATTCAAGGACTTTACAACATGGGGTACCTTTGAATTGCAGTAAAGTAGATGAGCCTCATAGAGTTTTGTTTGACTAACACCACATTTTAGGTTGATGAAAACAGTTGGACGGCCAACTATGGTCTATATCTTGTAGACTAGGCATACATTAGGACCTACAAGAAATACTAGGTTGTTGGTTGTATGCTGAAGGAGTTTTCATCAGCATTCTACGTAATGTTGTGTGAATCAAAGTACAAACGAGAAATTAAGCAGGGGATAACTTTAGTCTCCAAGGTAAGTCTTCTACCTAAGTACACAATTCCACGATGTACGTAAGTAATTTACCTTAAGTAGCCTTATGAAAGATATTACTTCTCCCAACGAATAATGTCAGTTTAAATCCCTTGTTTCGCCGCTTTTCTAAGGCATTTGTGGGGGTCATTCTCAATCAGAAATGCCGTCTGTTTCTAGCACTTTTGTCTAAAAAAGACTGATTCCCAACCTGTACACTGTTCGCCGTGCCCGAAAGGTCGTTTTGATACGACTGAAATATCCAGTGAAGGTCTGTTGCTGTGGATCAAAATTATTGAATTCCATACTCAGGACCATCAAGATCCCAATGCTATAGTTTTATTATCAGAGTTCGTGAGATATGTCAAGCGAATCAGCCTTCTCCGCGGTAAAATTCCCTTAAGCAACTTGTGTACCAGATCGTCGAACCAAAGGTCAAGAAACAACTACGGGCATCATAGTCTTGTAAATAATAATGGCAATCCACAGAAAACGTACAGTAGTAAATACATGCTAAACCTGACTGGAAACTTTGGGACTTCTTCGTCAGACCTGTAAGATTTACAGCCTTCGTTACTCCGGCAGTGAAACACTACAGTGATAACCTCCTCATAGTCAGTGAATCCGGGTTGCTGGATAAATACTCTGCTAAATGAGAATCTCACAGTTTAATTGATAGAAACATTAGTTTGGTTCGTAGTGACCAAACGAAAACGTATTGGATGGACGGGAAACCTTCAACACAAAGAAAACGTTCATCCTATTTTGAATGCCAAAGAGATATTTCACATATGTCAATGCGTAAGTCTTGATCATGTCATCTATGAGCTTAGCAAACAGTTCTGCAAGTGGCAGTGTCTTGTAATCTAGACAAGTGGTAAGTTATATCAGCACACTAAGATACAAAAAGCGACCAGTTCAAAATTTTCAACATTCACACTACAAGTGTGCTCGGCAATCAAACCTAGTATGACTGCTAGGTGGTATACTGTTGAAACATTGCCCATCATGACCTGAATGCTCCCAAGGAGTGATCATTTACACTAGTAGACCAAATCATTTTTCTTGAAAGGGATATAAGTAGAGTTCTGGTAACGGTGGTCATGCTTTCATGCCACCGCTTTGTTCCTAAGGAAAAAGAACGCTATCGAATATGAGACGAATAAATTGTCAATCGCCTTAGAAGTCAGCGGCATCATAAAATTCAGAATGACCATTGGCAGGGATCAGATATTTCCAGAAGAGTTGTTATCTAAAGCATCTGATTAGAAAAGTAAAGCTGTTCTCAAAAAACATCAGACGTGTTGGATAAAGAGGATAACAAAATGTGTAAACCAAACTTTTGAAATACGTATGATTCATATAAAGTTCCTGCAGTCCCGAAATGATGTAGGCTGACCGTGTTTTGGGGAAGCCTTTGAGGCGTAAGAACCCTACAGAACGGGAATTTTGTTATTTTACACAATTGTTAGAAAACTCAGCACACATGAAGATATGATGGCTATGCAAACAGTACGCTTTCAACCTTGCCTGACGAAAGAGCAACTGCTAGCAAGATAGTCTAGCCGCGAAACAGAGTTTGAAAGAAAAGCCAAACACCATGTCCGAGTATACAAATATGCAGAACAGCATCGGAACAACTGCCCTTTTGCCTGATTTGCATATTCTGCAAGAACCGAAATGCCTCTCACACATTCGAATACGTCACAGTCACACTAATCTCTGACAAAACGGGATGCACACTAAAACCAGATGCCGATCAAAGAATGAACCTCCAAAGGATTGAAAGAAAGCTTTGTGGGTAAATTTTGCTTGTTTGCTGAGAATCGACAATCTACGAGATATGTCTGCAAAGTACAATGTGTATCCCAAAGGAAGGCAGTGCCCTTGCGATAAAGTAGCTGTAAGAAAAACGCCGGAAGAAATTAGCGACGTTCGCGTCATTCATGCATCTAGTGCACAACCTGTGACTCAGATTTTCATTTTAAATGAGCACCTCTGCCTAAGTTCCCGCGTAAGATATTACAGTACCAAAAATTTAGATGGCCAATAAGCAGCAGTTTCCCTTTATGTCATCATCATGAGGAATTAGACAAAGTAACTACGCATGTATACTGAGTTTCTGATTGTTTACTCTGACTTTTGCATTTTCGTCATAATTTTTTGTTGTTGATTGCTTCCACAGTAGCCACACAAATGAATCTCTATGAGTGAATGTGTAAACGTTTTGCGAGCCTGTTGGCTCCCTGTCAAAATATCGAATAGACAATTTTAGATATTGACTTCTGTTCCTCCCATACTCACGTGAACATATGTCCCAGGGTTTCGTGTGTGGATTTCGCTTTTGATAAAAGGTTGTTAAATTTAGTGGTTTATCAAGTCAAGCCCTCAGTTCCCCCAAGCCTCCCACCCGACAACCACTCATTGCCAGTAAGAATGCAGCTGAGTAGCAACAGATTAGTCACCATCAAGTAGAAATTCCTCACAACACGGTTCAGATAATGACTCGGACAAGAGCGTAATTGGCGCACTGAACGTGATAACAAAATCTACATGGAATTTATGTTAATCATTTTTCAAAGCGTGTTTGACTCGTGCAGTGGTTGGCATTAGAAAATGATGGGATCTCCCTACGCGTACTATCCTACGTCATGGAGCCAATGGAAAATTTCTTCCTTTTAAAAGGAGTCTGTATACTGATGCTGAATTCTGATGTATTCGGATTTGCAAAAAATTTGTTCAGAATGAGTATGTCTTATAGTTGCTGATTATTCATGGCTTGACCGATCAGTCTGGAAAAGGGTACGCATCGCTTGTGTGCTGAACACAACAGATGTGTTCGCATCCCGTGGAGCTCCGGCTCGCTACGTAGTCAACCCTATATTACACCGGAATTTGTGACGAACAGTCAAATGTTAACCTTGATATATGATTTTCCTTGAAGTGTCGCTTGGCGTAGTCGGGTGATATACATTTATATTGTATAGAGCAGATGACAGATTCTAGTAGGAACTGTAATGGTTGGTTTTTGTTCTGCCGATGTAAATTTGGGAGACCAACTAAAATACATGTCAGGTTTTAAATAGTGAGGCTTCTAGTCAGCTTATCTGAAATATCACGCGCCTCATAACTGACAACGAATCTCCTTCACAATTTTTTGGGTCACTGTATATTTCCTTGTTCTAATTTCTTTATTTCTGTAGGTCTTGGTTAAAGAAACTTACTGGAATATAGTAACGTAGTTCTACCTATTGAGTTTCAGCAAACTTACAGGAGATTTTCCACATCTCTTCAAGGTTTGTGGCAAGACAGGCTAAGTCTGGGCGATTCACACAGAGCTGAATGTTGTATAGTTTGTGGGGAAAATTCTGATTTTACTCTTTAATGCCTTAAACCACTTCCTCGGGTTCGCACAAAACAAATAAGATTGTTTTTAGTGTAAAAGTGAACTGTTTTAGAATATTCCTCTGTCTTGCTCGTGAGTGCACATTTAGCTCAACTGATTTGTGATCCAGAATGCTACTCATTTAGACGTTCTGAGGGGATTATACTCAAAATACGGGATGTTTCAAGTGTTTACCAAAATGTATTGCTGATGGCATGTTGTGAGTGGATAACCATGTACAATTTACGGGATCCCAATAAGGCTGGTCTTCAGTGGCAGTTCGCGTTATTGGTATCATGTGACGCCAACGTTTACCGCAAATCTGCTGTTGTAATTTCACAGCCCTGTACTTTGTATGGAGCTCCGTTTTCTCCGAATACTAACTGGCTGTGCTGATGGGAGGGTGCGTATGTGGAACCTACTTACACAAAACTGTCAGCGTGTGTTTCTGGGAAATAACCGACACGATCCAATATTAAGCCTTTTGGCTTTTGATAATAGGTAAGTGCTATAAAAACTGCATTGATTTCTAACAATTTTAAGTTTGCGAATGCTGAAGGCTTTTATTATTTTCAAGTTGAAAAATGATGTTAGTGATAGCGCTTGCGTGCACAAAATTCCGGCTTCCTTTTGTACATCCGTCATGCGAACTTACTAAATGACAAAGCCACAAGAAAAAATCTAGTAGATTTCACAAGCGAGTAAAAATTCGGGCTAGTTAAATAAACAATGTTCATTTTCTAGCTAGAGTGCATCGCGGTGCATATAATAATAAAACTGCTTTATTTTACCCATAGTACTGCACTCTCCCCCCGAAATGTTCCCTTTCGCGAAAGTATAGCGCTTTTGCTGAAGCGACAGGCCAACTGCGTCTTTTCTGTTGCCTAAGGCTTACAGCACAGAGACTTAAGGCTTTTGTTAGGGTTTTACTTTTTTGATTATTTAGTAAGGTAAAGTTAACCAAGGCAACCCTGAGTAGTTTGTAAAATTTTAAGTGGCTTCCAACGCCAATCTTCCGTAATGCTCAGCTGCAAATCCACCACATATGTGTTGTATTTGTTTACGTGTATTGAGGAAGCAATGGATGAAAAACCATGCACCAAAAGCATCAAAGGCTGCCACTTATTGCCTACACAGTAAAAACACCAGAGTCTTAGGAATAATTTTTCGACGGTTGACTTGATTTGGTTAATTGCAATAAATTTCTTGTATGACTTCAGAGAATAACCTCAATGTGCTCTGGATAAATCATATGATGTAATGTTTATTGCACCTTGGTATCAAAACAAGGAAAATAGCTAAAGGTCTTTTTGCTAAAGGAATCTTTCCCCCTGCAAGCTGATGGTGAAAGTACGTTTACGATAATACGATGGATCATCTGGGCGTGGCTATCGTCAGGAATCATGTACGGCTGAATTCTGCCTTTTGCAGTGAGCAATCATCATAATGATCACCACCATCGACAGTATAATATTAGCGCTTTACTGTGGTCGACAAATAGCCAGAATCAAACTCTGCATGCGTAGCAGATTTTTACTGATTACCTAAAAAGCAAAAGTTCCGAACGATTTTGCTGTGGCAAGTTGCTCTCCAGTATTTTCCAGCATTTGTTTTGTGTGATTAAACGTTTGTCAAGGAACGGAAAGTTTGTTCAAACGGGACGAAATTTCGGGATTTCAAATTTTGTTCCCTGGAGAAATGCAATATTTTGTGGAATAAGTCCGGTTTTATAAAAATTCAGGGTGTGTTCAACATTCAAACAAGCGAACAGCTTGAAAGCTTTCTTCTATCAACTGAAATTAGTTTATTTTGGTATCCACCAATCAGCAACGACAAAGCTGGAATCAACGCTATGTGGGCAGTGCAAAGCTTGTTTGCTTTGAATTTTTTAAATATAGCAACACTTCTTGGGTGCAAACACTCAAATTTTCACGTGTCACAAGGGCTTGATAAGTGTGATAGTTTAATAGTTGATCCATATATTTGTTAGGAGCACTGTGTAAAAAAATCTATTATAGGGACGGCAGTAGACATGTGAAATGAAATGGTTCCGCTAGTGGACCACCTCTAAAGATTTGCTTATGTCCAGTAAGAAAACTAGAGCTATTCCAACAAACAAGGTTTGAAGAATTTTTCGCACAGAACTAAAACTTCTATGAGTTACTTCAACCACACTTTTGTAACTCAGCGGTCTTCGAAATTTGTTACGACCAATGTAATGTGCTTTACTAAGAAGTAAAATTTAAAGTACTTGATGTTGATGTGTATTTGTCATTATTCTATCTGCGTCTCCAACCTGTTGTGTGAATTTTTTTAAAGCGGCACACAGCAAGTCCAAAAGATGAAATGTTCAATTTCGACTGATTGGTTTAAGTTGAGCATCCTGTGTCCCGTATTAAGAGCTTGTATTTAATTAGCAGTTCTATTGTTCGACAATGTAAAATAAATAAAACTTTGCAGCAGATGATAATAGGATGATCATAGGAGGGATCGTTGACCGAAACCCTCCGAGAGAGCCTAAAAAGTCTATGCTTTTACTTGACAATTTTGTTTCCGATGAGAAAAGTTTAAGATATGCGTGGCCACCTGAAAGAAAGCCTTAGGAGAATGCTCAACTTTTCAGTGATTCAGTGAAATTAAAAGGTGACGCGATGAATTTAGTTCAGACTTAAGAGCTTCCTAAAGGTGTCCTTCCTTGGTCCGTTCCTAGAGGGCGACTGAGATACGGAATCAATCAGGCCCAAAGTAGCGCGCAAAACGTGGTAAAATGCTTTGAGTAAGAGTGACCGGGCAAAACATTTTTGAAAATACGTTTGCTCATCCTTTATGTAAATCAGTTCACAGCGGCTAGTTTTCTCGTTTATGCAAGATCGCGTTACATAATTTGGAATATTTCGTACTTCAGAATCATTTTGAATACACAACACAACGTTTTGGATTTACAATTTAACCAGTCGGTTTGGAGCTTTTCGCGGAACCGCGATGCAGTTGCAGAAGTTCCCTGGACAGGACCGACATTACCGAGAACTGATGAAAGTCCAACTGGAGGAACTTCATCACGCGCTGAAATTCGCTGTAATAGAATAGGTATAACAAAAGGAACTGACCTCAGAGTCACTGGACCAAATGAACACTCTTTTACGAGTAAGCTTAGAAAATTCATTTGTAAGCCATTTTTTCTTGGGTTAATATCAACACAGTTTAACTTCGTGAGTAAACTAAAAAGACCCCCTCAGTTCACTGTTTTAGAAATTTTAAGCGAGATTTCTGTCTAAATTTACAGATATAACAAAAGAGATAGCCAAGAGATAGCCAAGATAACCAAAAGAGATAGCCAGTTTACCATTTTTTTCGGGTACGCGAGTACAATAAGAACGAAAAACGGATGTGTAAAAAATGCGTTACACAAACGCGTCGTCTAGCTTTTTAGAGAATAAAACCGTTCAGAAATAGAAAACGAGCTAAAACCGTCCCCTATTCAAAATTGAATTGAAATGGTAAAACATATGAAAAAATGGCAATGATCTGACATTCCTGGATCTACCATGACTTCGTTTTTACCACATATTTGTGATGACTTCATCACTTATTCAGATTAAGATAAATTGTTGTTATCTGGTGAAGGCCTGTGAAATTCAGCTGTTTGGATAATAAGGTTAAAATTATGAAAATCAAGAAAACGATATCTGCACAATCATATGTTAACATATTTTACTTTAAACCCTTCAAAATAATTGCAACACGCAAAAGTCCCCTGCTAGAAAATAATAATACATACATTTGTAGTAAAATATCACATGAAAGACGCATGCACGAGGAAAATATTCTTCGAGTTAAATACAATCATTCCAACACTTGGTGACGTCTTCAACTTCACTCAGTTAGAGTGGTTTCTCTAGAAGTAACTTTAGTGTCGTAAAGACAGAAGCAGTTGAAATCCAAATATTGAAGATCCGGATGATTTACGTCACTTTTTGAATGACGTAGTTGTGTTGGTCTGCCGCAGTTGGACGACTGTTACTGAGTGTTACCGGACCAATACATCTAGTGAAGGCTTCCAGTTGCAGTCAACTGTTGGTACAAAATTAGTGTGTGCAAACTGATGGAAGGAGAAATGACTGATTGGCCACAACCGGACAGCTGTTGAAACTACAGGGGTGGATTTCTACTTCCCTAGTTCTACACAGTCAAGACGATAGTAAAGTCTCACCAAATATGATCAGACGAAAGTAAAAAAGTGTAGCTAACATACTCCAAATGACGAGTGCAAAGCCAACTATAAAACAATCAAAAGTGAAATTTTTCTGTGGGTGACACAAGTTGCTAGCTTACCGAGTATTAGTAACACACTTAGGTCTCGTCATTACGACCACTCCAAGGCAAACAATCCACTGGTGTACTAAGACGTTTTATCTTTTGGACGTCTTTCGGTTCGCTCAATTTTTGCTTAGTGAAACAGCACTACTTTTGCCGTACCTTTTGCAGTCAAGTGTGATAGTGTAAGCAGCAATCGTTCTCCGTGCAAACAGGTGGTTGTTCGGGTTTTTCCCAAGGAAACTTCTGGAGGAGCTGAGGCGTTTCTCCGGCATTCGTCTTTGTAGGGTCAAACACACTAAATTAATTATTGCCACGAAATTTCTACAAATTTATGTTCAAAATGCACCGTCTTAAATGTCTGAAAAAATTAATTTACAACATTCAGCTTTTGGACTATTTGGCTGCAAACTGATTCAGCAGTTTAATTTTGAATTTAATTATTTATTTGGTCGAATTGTGGAATTTTGTAAGTTTCAACTGCATCATGTAAACAAAGATCCACATCGCGCATCGTTGACGTAATACACGCCGGCGTAAAAACAGATGCAGAAGTAAACCCAAATCTTCCGGCGAGTAAACGAAAGTAAAAGTAATATGAAAGCTTTTTAAGCCCCCAAAGATATGTTTTGTGACGGCTATCTGCCACACCACTCTCATACCTTTTCATGCACACCATGCTGTATATTAATTAGTTTCAACGCTATCAAGGTATTTAGCCATATACTCAGAAGAGTCTTGAAGGAGTCAAATTTGAATACACAGTGATTTTAAATCGTTGCGTTTAGAAGCTAACGAAGCGTTAGAATCTCATGTGAGCTCCAAATTAATGGCACCCACTTTTATGGTATATTCACATTTATTAAAGCAAATCAGAGTATACTGTTTCTATCTTGGATGGTCTGGATGTAAGTTTGGTATGCCGACCATTTGTTTTACCAGCATAAAAATGTAAGCGCCATGAACTTGATGCTGCACAGCGGTTATCGTTGATGATGTTCGACCTTCCTTTCTTGAGAATCTGCAGACGGCAGTTTTCTGCGGCATGAAGTTTTGCATTGCAATTGTACTAATTGAATTGGCACAGAACTGTGATTTTCTCTAAGACTTGTAAAAAAGATCTTAATTTTCAGTTAGCTGGACGGCTGGACGTGGTACAGTCCACAAAATACGGGCGCACTGTGCCATACATCCACAGCCCGAATTTCTGCCGAAGGTTTGATGTAGTGACCGATAAACCGTCCGTTAAGATAGCATCCGACACAAATGTCTACT